TTCCCCTACCAGTGAAAATGGGTCAGCTCATGCCACAGTTAATCCACCAGTACTTGTACCAGCTATGCAGTCCGACCCTCCGACCCTCGCGCGACCGGTATGCCGAGGCTGTCCGTACCAATAGCAGGAGAGCCTCACCCTTGACGAACCAGTAGCCTTTTAAAAAAAAAAAAAAAAAAAAAAAAAGAAACAGCGCTAGGGACATTCTCCCAAGTTGTAGTGTGTTTATGCCGTACTTAGGTCGGATCAGCCCCATTACCTACTTGTCAGAAATGAGAAAAGACAACCAAAAACCAGCAGCAGCCCTGTGCCCCTAATGTTTGGTTGGATACATTCTTGGATGACATTATGCCACTACCTTCCTCGGTGGCAGGGGTCTAAGAGAAAACACAAAGAAAAACAAACAAAAAAAAAAAAACAAATCAAGAATACCCTCACTTCTAACACCATAATCCATTACCTACTCTACCTGTGTTTCCACTCTCTCTCACACTGCTATCCCGGGTTGTTTTTGTTTTCCTTTCCCTTCAGTTTTTTCATCTCATTCCAGAGCGACACCCCGGCAGGCTGGCACGTTAACGTTCAACCCCATGGGCAATCCGATAAATCATATTCTTTATTTTTTATTATCTATAGACGTAGTAAATATAACATAAGAAAGAAATAAAGAAAGCTGGGCCAAGTACTCATTTTTGTGCATCATCATTTTACATGACGTGAGTTACGTTCAGAAGTTTTTACATCGTTCGCATGGGGTCTTTTTCTTCTTCTCTATCTTCTACTTCAACGCAATGTTCCGCGCAGGGTTGAAGAGTTCGCTTGTCATTTCGATTCTCCTACTGCATCTTCCACTTCAACGCAATGGTCACAAACGCCATACATCAGGGCTGAATAATTTGCTCGTCATTTCCATTATCCTTCTTCTCCCTCTTCTCTTTCGAGGCAATGGATACGAAAGCCATGCATTCCGCCTGCTCAGTTCGCTTCCCTCGTCAGCAACCAAAGGCCCCCAGGAGTTACTCAAAGCCAGTTGAAACCGTTCAAGCATGGCAGTCAGACTATATGTCCGTGTCTGCTGATTCATCACGTTTAATACTTTTAAAGTGGAAGCTGCATTCGGGCTTTACCGTGACTACCTTGTGTACCTTTTCAACTGATTGGTCTTCCTTACCCCCCCCCCCCTCTCTCTCTCTCTCTCCCCCTTTCCAAATGAGGACATTGTACCATGAACGACTATGCCTACTTCATCAGAATTCCACTCGCCCACCTTTACTCTCGTTGGATGAAGATCATGAAAGATACATCTTTGATGGCATGAACATGAAAGAGAACCGGCAAAAGAATATACATCCTGCTGGCATGCACATGAAAGATACATCAAGAGGGCCTGTAGGCCTCCTTCAATGTATACTGCTGCCATTGTCAAGTAGATCAACCCTGCTTTCCTCGCCAAATCCTCTCTTCAGCTCAAAGTTAAGAGCGTGCTAATTGGGAATCGATTGGTAGCGGCTACCACCCAGATTCCGCCTATGTGAGGCCATTTGCAGTTGTGATAATTTACCAAATCACCTCAGTGAACAGTCCAGTATTATTTTCTTTCGCATCAATATCTAAACTAAAATTAAGTCCAGTACTTTTATTAGTAGTTGATAATAAAGTGGCTGTACCAGCCAAAACTCGTTAACGTATGATTGTAAAATATGCCAACGCATTAAAAGAATAACAGAGACCTCCCACCGGAAATTACGGCCGAGTGCTTCACAGCCATCAGATCACAAATAATCTGATGGTGGTGGTTGCAACAACAACAACGAACAGATAAACTGCCACAAGCAAAAAATGGACGGAAGCTTCCATCCAAGGAAATAATTGCTCAACAATCCCATCCAATGAAAATCTGTTACCATGTGGGCCTATGGACCATCCTACCCTGTTTTGGGATTGGCTATATATCCCCAACGGATTGAAAAGATTTTGACGGGAAGCTTCCTTTGCACCAGCATGGCCAGTGCCAAGGAGACGAGGGAAACAAAGACCTTACTTTTTCGGGTAATACATGTATAATACCGACCGTGGAATCACTCACGAGTACTGCACGACAGGATTTGGGTCACTCAAATAGCCACGCAAATTCGTTTCTATCCTATCCCGTTGCTAGTGGGACCACGCTCCAGATTGAACCAGAAGAATGAAATAAAATAACTCCTTCAGAGTTTATATGCTTTTAAAAAGTTAAACCAGCAATACACAGCCCCAGCCTTGCAATCCGAAACTTGTCGCCACAAGAAAACGAGGCCGAAACGCCCATCGTTGACGAGTCGGATCGGCAGTCACGGTTTCGTTTCTCACCTCCAGACTTTGAGGTGCCAGTATAAATAGCATAGTACCGGTATAAATAAAAAGGGTACGAAATAGCATAGTACCATCGGCAGCCCTGCTTTCATGGTAGGGTGGACGAGGTGTACCCAGGGGCTAATTGGTAAGTTAATACAAAGGGTAAGAAATAGCACAGTACCAGCAGCAGCTCTGCTTTCACGGTAGGGCGCACATGGCCGACCCAGGGGCTAACCGGGTAAGTTAAGGTCGGCTACCCGGAGGCCAGCCGGTAAGGCAACAAAGGCCTCCACATGGCCTAAACGGCAAGGAGGCCTCCCCAGGGACCAAATCGCACTAGCGGTAGTATACCCTTGGTTTCGAGCACACATCGATACCTGCCATCCAACGGCCACACACGCCATACTGCAGATGATGCTCAAAGGACAGGCTAACACTTCTGCTAACAGAACTCAGCCATGGGCACAACAACCAGCTTCAGACCTCAAATTTTTCAACGCCCAGTATTTTGTGCGCCGCTGGCCTAGCCAACCGTGTTGGACCTGGCAGCGGTACAGATCGTGTCATTTTTTACAGGCAAAAGTCGGCTGTTTCGGTATTCTCCCCTTTATCCAGACCAGGGCTGTGTCGTTAACTGACCACTCCCATCCCAACCGGGCTCGTTGGAGTGGTCCAACCGGAGTTCCGGTTGCACCCAAAAGTGGGTCAAATATATATATATATATATCGTCACAAACAGAACTGCCCCGTAAAACCGTAGGCAGAGAGAGAGAAGAGGACAACAAACGAGGGGCTGTGACATATATATATATATTATATATAGATACATACTTGAAAACATGGTTGGACAGCGCTCGCTGAGATCTCCCCGAATCCGGAGAGAAGTCTTTTTTTGGGGGGCGGGGGTGTTCAGCTGGTGCCTGGGTAGTTAGGTTGGGGTCTCTTTCGCTCTCTCTCTACCGCATGCCTACTCTCTCTCTCTCTACCGTGCACCCACTCTTGCACCTACTCTCTCTCTCTCTCTCTCTCTCTCTGTGTACCGAGCATCTACTTGCACACCTACGCTTCCACACAATGTAAGTAGTACCAGTAGAAGAAGAAGAAAAAGAAGAAAAAAGTACCTGTGGCGTGCCGGCAGGCAGGGGGGCTGACTTCGCTGCACGACGATGACGATGACGACAGCTGCATGCCCACTCGCACGCCTACTCTCTCTCTCTCTCTCTCTCTCTGCCGCCCGCCTACTCTCGTGCCTACTCTCACGCCTGCTCTTGCGCTTTCTCTCTCTCTCTCTCTCTCTCTCTGTACCGAGCATCTACTTGCGCACCTACCCTTCCACACAATGTAAGTAGTACTAGAAGAAAAAGAAGAGAGTACCTGTGGCACGCCGGCAGGCGGGGGGGTTGGCTTTTCTGCACAACGATGACGATGACGACAGCGACTTGCAGGCGGGGGGGGGTCGGCTTCACTGCACAACGGTCACGACGAAGAGGACGATGACTATGGGCAACGACGGCGGGGGCATTGGCCTGTTGACAGGACGGCTGGTGAGTCCTCGGGAGGCGGGCAGTCCCAACAGGGATGCACCTGCAGCTCCAATTTTCAAAAAGGGAGGCCTCATCTGGGCCGCCGACCTTTCAAGATCAGCAGTCCGCAGAGGGCAGGAGGCCCCCACAACCCGCACAGGGGCCTCCTGGCCCCCAAAAAAATTGAATCGGCCTGTATTTGCCTCCGCGCTATATCTGACCGGAGGGCAACCGACCCGGTGGACTGGCCGGTCCTACTGGCCGGGTGCCGATTGGGGGCGGACCGCCCTGTGGGACCAGGTTTACAGCCATCAGTGGTCGACTCTTACAGGCGAGATTGGTAACCCATGCATGTGGTCGCTAATGGATGATTATACCAGATACTTGACAGAGGAAGGGTAGTCTAAGCGACCGAGTTAAAACCACCAAGTCTAATCGGCCTGGCCTTCTTCCGGTACAAATTCATTCGGGCAGAAGGGGAGAACAAATGTGGTAGGTACTAGTTCAAACAAAAGACTGCATTGGGACTTCAGATTTGCGGACGCACACATTGCCAGCACCGCTTTTGCCAGAATGGCCTTCTTCCGGTCCAAATTCATTTGAGCAGAAGGGGGGAACAAATGCAGTAGGTACTGGTCGTTCAAACAAAAGACTGCATTGGGCCTTCAGATTTGCGGATGCACATGTGGCCAGCTGCGCTTTTGCCAGAACACAACCAAGCAAGAAGTCCTCACTCATCAACCAGTTTACAAAACACATTACATTTGGGGTGCACATTGTCCAAAATCGCCCCATATCCTTTAATCCAGCCCCCAACCCAAAATCATCAACCCGCAGTGACCCACTTCCCCATGGCAAAGTGACCAGTACTTGACACATTCATCCACTGCCGTGAGCACCTCCTCTCTACAAGAGCTGCACAGTTTGCCCACATTATACCTTCTTGCACCTCGCCCACGGCATACAGCTGAAATAGCACACTATTCGAGAGCACGCACATGGGCTGCATCATTTCACTGCACAAACAAACAACTAGTGACAGTCCACGCATAGAGACAATCCTTGAAACGTTTCTGTAATTTTCTCAATTAGATACATTCTCTGGTACGATTCAAAGTCTTGAGCACACCATCCTTCGCACATTTCCGTAATTTTGCTCAATTACAAGGAGAAAGCGATCATGGAGAAACAGCAAAAGAAGCTATCAGGAACTCCACTTCACATACTATAGTACGGTATCGGCACACCGAAAAGAACCATCAGAAATTCCACTTCGCAGACTATAGTGGTATCAGTGTCCTCCTGATAACCTATGCACGTGGCTGACGGGGTGAAATTTGGAACTGGAGGCTTGCTGCCCATATAGCAAATGACGTGTAGATTTCGGATAGACGGCGGAGAGAGTCGACGTGTAGATTTCAGATAGACGATGGAGAGAATCCCAATCGTCTACTTTGTCACAGCAAAAGAATGGTGGACAGAGGCCCAAAGGAAGAGAAGGGAAGACCAGGGGACTGTAGCAAAACGCTCGGCATGCATGAAAGTGACACCGGAAAGAATCAGCCGCGGGTGCTATCATGCACGCATCTGTCGAGGTGACATGCATGTGCAGGGACATTTGCTTGAGATTATAAACACTTGCCATTTGGCTGTGTTCATCCTTTCCGTCATCTTTCACTACAGTACATACATATGCACTTTTCCCATCTCCTCGGCGCAATTAACCACAATTAACAGCAATGTGGTCGAGGGAGAAATGACCCTCCACATTCACGAGGACACACAACAGATGCAGTTAAGGATGGCAGCACTGTCGACACATGAACCCTCTACAGGACAGACACAGAAAAGCAGAGCACTGAAGCACACACATGGACTTCCCACATAACTGCAGTAAAACTCGTTGTTTCACAAGAAAAACAGAATACACTGGACGATGCACCTAGAGGGCGAGGACGCAGATGCATGAGTGGAAAGACGACCACCCAAATCAAAATAAAACACCACTCAAGATAATATCCGTCGCAGATATCATATCTGCACGTGAGCAAATATCGGCTATTCACAGGTAAACAGTTCACAAGTAGACGAGGGCTTCCAGCAAGGTGGTACATGAAAGGGACGCACACATTCCTTCTAATCCTTTCGTGCAAACTACAGCAAGGAGATCCGCCCCAGCATACCGGCATCGTGGGTGCTCCAACTTCTGCAGGCAAGGAAAGAAACGGTTGAATCTTCCGTTCACGAGCAAACATGGGATTTTTTTGCTGAGGCCATCAGGAGGAGCTGAAGGCCAGTTATGAACATCTTCATCACACTCCCGACAACAGGTTCAGAAAAGGCAGAAAAGAGTCCAGCTGCCTATCCCTGGGGACACGAACCCTTCCCTCGTCTTCACTAGTCTCATAGAGAACCTAAAACCTCTCCTGGCAGAGCTCAGTCACGGTACCTGTCCCTGTTCACGGTAGGAAACACAGCATACAACACGTGCCAAGGCAGCTGCCAAAGTGTAGTCATTAGTGTGTGCACACCCCGCAGCCGCAACCCTTGCAACACCCTGAAGAAAACAAAACCAGCTCGAGTAGTTTATTTCACAGCGAAATACTTCTCATTCCAAGCTCTTTAGAACAGAGAGACACAGCTTCAGGATGGCTTTCAAGCACAGTTAATTTCCCAGAGTAATAGTTCGCATTCACAGTTGCCAGCGACAAAGAGACAGCTTCACGATAGCTTTCCCCTACGATCCGAAATCGTGCTGTCGTCAACAAGACCAGCTTAACATATATCACCAACTTCGGCAGAATGTCAAATTCATGAATCAGAACACAATCCCCTCATTGTCTTCACTGTGAAAGAGCATCCACAAATAAAAACAGTCCCACTCTTCTGAAGAATGTCGCATCCTCCCAAGACAGCAATCCGTATAATCTCCTTTCCAATTGCCTTCAAGAAATCGGACATCTTCTAGTGACCTCACACTAATACCTATATACCACCCAAGTACACAACTTCATAAGCCCTCTCTAAACACCAACTCCACACTGGTTACAAGCATGCCTTGTTGACACCAATAACAAAAGAGTTTCGACATCGCGCTTCAGGCTCGGCCACGGTTATACCTCCCCCTTGCCTGAAAGCTTCGTTGAGTCAAGTATTCCGAAAGAAAGAACTCCCAAAGCAAAGCACAGAACAAAACGACAAAACCAGAGCCAAAGAAGAGACGAGATTGAGGCCTCATGAAAAGGGGACGCGGTCAAAAGACCAATGCCAGCGGGCATGAACTGACGTGAGGAAGCATGGACGACAACGTGGTACAAAGAAATGGCTAAGTCACTGGAAAGATTCAGAAGAAACTCCAGTTCTGGTGAAAATACTGGGAATAAGAAATGTCAAACGGAGCACAGTGTCAAACGGGAGTCCAAAGAATGGAAGGATAGAAAAAGGATACAGTAGGTGAAGTCTACATAAAGGATGGAAGAAAACATCTCCATTATTTAGCTCAAACAGGTGACTTACGCACTCCGTCAACAAAGTGGGACTTCCATCCACTTCTACAAACTCGGCAATTGGTACACAAGTAAAACCCTAAAAAAAGCACAACCAAAAAGTGGCTACGTCTTAACACTAGGCATGTGTCGAGACCTGTCCGCTGGTCCATCCGATGGCAGTCTTGATGATGGATAAGGCGGCGACCGAGAAGATCTTCGAGGACTTCGCGGGCTGCAAAAACAGGTGATACATACAGCAGCACCAAAATATATCAATTTTCCTGACAGAAAGGAGCCGGCTGTCTCAATAACCATAAGACATAACAAACTCAAACAAACAGGGGAGTGTCAAAGGTGGATGGACTGAGACAAAAGAATGCTAACAAAAACATAAGACTCCCAACTCCACTGCAACTTGGACGACACTCTCAGGCGCAGTTGAGTTCAGGTTCTTTTCTTTCCTTTTGGGAAACAACATTAGCAACGACATATTGAAAAGTTATCCCTCCCCGTTTTCTTCTTTTTTAGGTGAACGAGGTCCTCGTTTCGGATCCAATTCAATCTTCTGTCTTCTGTCCAGTCTAACAGCATTGGATTTCCCGACTAGCTCAGTTGGTGCACACACGAACTTGTGAAATACAATCAGGATATCTCAAGACCGTCACTCTTTTATCTCAAGACCGTCACCCTTCTATCAAAAAGGAGATTGGAAGTGTTTTGAAAGGGAGATTTGAAGTGTATTTCCATTGTTCTCATGTTCGTTACTATAAACTCATTGTGAATTACCTAACGGTGTATTTCCATTGGACCGGTCAGTATTTCGACATCACTCATTTCGACATCACTCATGTTTGTTATACCACACGTCTTTCCTGCTTGTTGCAGTCATACTGAGCGCATGAGCGCTCCAACTCCGAGACTGCTTGCTGGTGAGGCAGCACCTGACCAAAGAATTTGTAGGCAATCACATCCAGAGCTCAGTTGGGAAAGTACTATTGTGAGCCATTTGCCCTAGGTATTCGTTGTGTTCCTCTTTTTGTTTTGCTCGGAAACCCTCGAGATATTATCACTACATTGACACATGCTGCCGGTATACCCTGAGAGTCCTTCGTGAACATATTTTTGTTTTGATCGGCAACGAGCTCAGGATATTATCACTAAACTGACAGGACCACGGTAATCACACAATTCTGTACAACTTGCATTCATGGATTCAAACTCCGACTGTGGCGGTACAGGCGCAAAAACAAACTAAGAAAACAAGCCGAAGGCACCTTTTTTTGTTCCATATACCAGCATCAGGTGCAGCACTTCAGTTCTGAAAAAGAGCCGCCCAGAATCTTCCAAGGGGTAGCAATACTCACTTTCATGCTTGGTTCATCAAAACAGGTGTAGGTGATCTGCTGGTCTAGAGCAGCAGTACACTGGCCCAGCCAAGTTGAGAGTCCGATTGAGCCTCTCCTAAATTTCGGAGGCTCGCAAACCATCCATTAAATAAATCGGCAGGGGTCTGCCTCCAAAAGGGGCCCACTGCCAATGGCTGACATGTACTGGTGGTTTAATACCCAGATTATATCCACGTGTTATGCCACCTTCTCAATGCCTGCTGCGTATTTAATAAAAGTAGAAAACCGCATGTTTCACTGGGTGACGGGCAAAGAGTCCTTATGCCTCACAAGACGTATGGAATTGCAGGAGGAAGGCAAATCGCAGTAAAAGCAAAACCTCAAAACTCAGACAATGACAATAAAAACCAACAGGTCTCCAAAAGCCATTGTCAATGTTTACATCGAGAGGGGCAAAATCTCACCTTGGAGATCTCCGGGACTCATATGGAGAGCGAGCACCACGAGCAGGGCTCCGACCGCGTGCCTGACCTCTTGGCGATCCGTAGGCTGGACTCAAGGATGTCCGCCGCGGTGGTGGTGAGCGAGACCTTCCCCCCCTGGAATCACAATGTCATAGCTGAGTTAGCAGACAATAAAAATTGCGTCATCTTACAAACACAGACAACGCAGATATATATTGACACCTTGACGTTACAGGATAGACATTTCGCACACAGGCAATGCAGATCTTTAGGCCCAAACGTGTCAACTAAACAAAACAAATACTTCACAACTTGAACAACGAAAATCAAAGATTTTTCTGGCCTTTTAGTGTTACATTCTTTCCGTTCTTTACTTACGCATGCATACATGAAGCCATCACTTCCATCAATCCACCAGTGTAGGGCAACTCCAACTGCCACCAGCATCCAGAGACCATCTTATTTTAATTTCGCTCCATCCAATTCGGAAATCCCCCAAACCATCAATTTGTCAATAGGTGAACCCGACTCATCGAATGCCTCCTTGCTAAATGCAATGCGGGGAACCCCTAGAAACGCTCTGCTTCCACGATTGGACAGAACGCAGACACCGGCCGGTACAATCCCTTTGGGGTGCCCGGTCACTTCCGCTGCAACTCACATTCTCATGAGATAACCGCAAATGCCTAACACACCGATGAAGCCCGCCTTCAAGTTCTCCACATCCCACACATTGCAACAGATGCAGTCACACAGATGCAGTCACAACCTGTCATATTCTTTTCTACACCAATCCACGGGCGCAATCACAGTCTATACATCAATACCAGTCACATGCACTGCAACAATCTTCCCACCGACACACCTCACCCTGGTCATGAACGTCTACAAGCAATATTTGTCCGATACCTTCCCAATTAGGCTGCAGTACATTCGGAAGTCGTGACCGTCTACAAGCAATATTTGTCCAATACCTTCCCAATTAGGGTGCAGTACATTCGGGAGAAGGCAGGAGTCCCATTCGTCTGAAAATAACCCAAACAAAATTATCACAGGAAACATCCATCAAGACCAACAACAAGCATTGACAGTTCCAATGCCAAAGAATTCACTTCCAGATTACAATTTAGACATATTTAGAGCACAAACACAGTTCTAGGGGTTTGTATACCTGTACCTCCCATAACTGCTAGAAAGAGACCGCGACCGTGACGATGAGCGTGACCACGAACGCGAGCGTGCTGCAAACAGCAATACCGAACATTTCCATGGTTATAATTCAGTTCTCACAAACGCAGGATCACAACTCAGCAGCAACCGCCGAGGCACATTTATTACACGAGACCAAAATAGGTGTTTCTGCCTTGCAGCTGCATTATTTCCAAATACCTTATTGCCATTTATCCATCCAGCACATAGCAGGACGAGAGGAGGGACCAAAAGGGAGGAGCAAAGGAGACAGCAAGGGTACATGCAAGAGGGGGGACCGAATTGTGGGGAGGGCCATGGGACGCGCAAAAGAGCCAGCAAGGGTACATGCAAGAGGGGTGACTGAATTTTGCGGAGGGCCATTTCTTTATCTCCTAGTGCCTTCGATACTATATATACAGGCATACACGGCCTTCCTCTTTCTCTTTATTGGCAGATTCGGCTACAAGGTGCTCATAGGAAAAACACATGCCAGATTAAAACATCCCGACATGTTTTGATCCACCTCGGATAATTCCTCTGTCATCACACACCGTCAACCCCGGTTTCCATACCTCCATAACGAGGCCGAGTCAAGTGCAGAAACCAATTGGTAGAAAATTCCAGTCCTCTTTGTGAACGAGAAGTGTGAACAAGAAGTGTGAACGAGAATGGAAAACCAGTTGCTGCGCAGGTAGCCCACCCCAAGAAACAATTCATACAACAAGATGGCAAAGCCGAGAACGGTTATAAACCAGACAGACTCTAGAAAGCCAGGGAAAGCATAAATACTTACAACGCCCTCGAACCCTCCGCACAGGGGACCTCCGCCTCATATATCCACCTCCTCCAAAATTCGTGGCCATCCTTCAAGCACAGAAAATAAACAAACAGACAACACAACAGGTCAGATTCCCATGCAATTGGCTGGTGACGCATGGTGCACTGTTCAGCGACTTCGTGAAATGGAGCACAGTAAAGAGCATCACGACGTAACTGCATCACAACAAAATTATTTGGGCTACAAATTCATACACGTTACGGATGTATTTCCAGGACATTTGAAGGTGAATTAGATTATCTGTTTCCACTTTGCCCCCCAAAAAGGAGAAGAACTAAACACAAAAGAAGGAAAAAGACCCTAGCAGCGGATTGCCTGCCAATCAGACACCTGCCATTCAGTACTGGCCAACATGTGGGGCTGTTCCACATAGGCAGGGAAAGGTCCGGTAGTGCCATTAGCTCACAGGCCAGACGGAGGGCGGTGCTGGCCAACAGGTACCATTCACGTAGGGTGTAACACGTACCGCAGGTCAGATAGGGTCGGAAAGGTAGGCCCGGTAGTGATAATACGTCGGGGAGGGCAGTTAGGTCACAGAGAGTGGTACAGGCCAACAGGTACCCTTCGCACAGATCGCTGGATACCTTTCGCACAGATCGCTGGGTACCTTTCGCCCAGATCGTTGGGCATCCTTCCCACAGGGACCTGGGCCATTGATGCCAACGGACAGCGTTCATCTCAGGCCGATAAGAGGGAAAAAAAAGATCAGCCAGCTATCCAGGCGGGTCATTTGCGCAGTGCCGTCCAGATAGACTCCCAATCAGAAAATTTTCAGAGCAGGATGCTCTCTCCACCTTCGCAGAGTGAGATTGCATGCAATCCAACGCCATTCTTCATGACTATTAGAAGTTTCAATAGAATCGTAGATGTCTTTAATGATTGACTCTGCAGCATAAACTCCATAATCACATTTTCCCCCAAAACACACTTGTGATAACAGCAAATAAAATTCCACACCCACTTTGGAATTAGTAATGATTTGATTCATCTGCTCCCACCAGAGTTTTTTCCCCATTCGTGTCCAGCCTTACGGCAGCTACAAGTACATAACAATCCAGCATTCGCTTACCTCTCCTTCTGACGCATCTCTGCAGGTTTCTTTCGGTTCTCTTCGGCGTACACCACTGTGATCTGCCTTCCACGAAGCTGTGTCTTATCCATGTAGAACTTCGCATCAGAGGCATCTGCTGGGTCCATGAACTCTACGAATCCAAATCCCCGAGATTCCCTGGAACAATAAAACCGCACATGTCAAATATACCTTCAAATTGCATTGCAATTTCATCCATCTTTCTTTTAAGATGGAGAACTAACAGATGACAAGTTCCTTTGTTGTAGGAAGTATTATGTGCAGGTTTTCGTCAACAGTCAAACTGCACCCAAGACTTACGTCTGTAACGGCAACAAATACACCACTTACAAGGGGCTCCAAGCGGGCACTACAAGAACAAGAAAAGACTCTTATCCGATCCTTGCACAGATGTTTAAGGGAAAGAAATATGAAGCAAGAGACTAGCAAACGAAGACAAGCAAAGAACCAAACTTGAAATGACAAAACGGTAAAGATGATGGATCCCTGCCAAAGATATACATCGTCCTGATGAGAGAAACATCATTACATATCGAGTTTCCAAAATTAACAGCGAGTAACCCTCAGCACAACCTGTGAAAGTGACCAGATGCAAGCTCGTGAACGGGCTACATAGGAAACCATTTCCGCGACTTATAGCAAGCACTTGAATGGCTCCCTGAAACGCTACACAGGTTAACATTGATGGGAGCCATTCAAGTTGTGTTGAACGGATGCAATGGAATCTGCACACTTACTTTATGAACCTGAATGTCATTGAAAGCAGGCAACACAACTTGCAGTCGTTCCACGGAAACCCCGAAAAGGCACAAGAGAACAGACAACGTATGATAACCAGGTCGTTAACGTGTGGCAACGTTTGGAATGAGTCTTTTCTCATCAATTATTATTCAATCATGTGTCTACAAATCCAGGGCTATTGCCTCACCGACCCACAGCCATGCTATTGGAAATAGAACTTCTCAGAGCGAATGCCCACATATGAGAATCTACAGCATGGTGACTCATAAATCAACAGCGCGATAAATCGTCCTATGGCTCCATTTAGGGCTCTGTCTATTAAAAGACAAAGGCCGGCACCACCAGTCTAAAGGCATGGTTCCCTGCTTGTTAATTCAACAAGCCAAGAAATCCATATCGGAAAAAAGAGGACCAGACGTTTCGGTATCGAGTGATTCCTCTTCTAACAAGGGGCCACAACCGGGCATCACTGATGTTATGTTTGTGCTGCCCTCACAGGAACCTGGACATAGAGTTGGCAAAGTCCATTACCGCAGAAGAAAAACATAGCATAAGCATGGGCTCACCATCAGCACGCCTACGCCCCTTCGAAATGCTCTAGCTCAAATGACAAGTGAACTTGCAATGAATTTAGGCGCTGGATTGCATACAATCTAGACACCTAGGCATCCCGCACAGACTTTTCGCACCTGTGCATCCGCTCTCAGGTTAAGGCCATATCAACGACATGGAGTGAAAAATTGCCCCAGACAATATCATTACGTACAGCGACCATCACATGTCCATCTGGAAAGAACTAGCACATTGATACTCGTTCCGCTACCAGAAATTCAGACAAACAGGGATCACATGTCCATCTGGAAAGGACTAGCAGCTCGATACTCGTTCTACTACCAGAAATTCAGACAAATGGGTATCTTTCAGATACTCCGGGCTAATCTTACAAGAGACTGAACGTGATGCACAGAAGACAGTTCTAAGCAATAAGTCTACCATCTTCACCCGAATACAAAACAAGGTCACTATCACCGTATTCGTGATGACTTTCAGTCTACATACAGCAAAAATGGGCGTATGTTGTATTCGGGTGAAGATGGGTGGTAGTATATAGACTTCACAACTACAGATACCCCTTCATAATCTCATCACCTTCACCAGGCTCAGGCAAGCCTAACAGAAAATATCAACCTAGCCCATCCGAGACTGCCAACGAATGATCTGAAATTTCATAACACAGTACAGGCTGCCCAAAACAATTGAGGACGTCACAGATCCAAACCAGGCTGATTTTCCCAAAAAGACATCATAACAAATTTTGAAAAATCACGCCGAGAGTAAATCAAATCCGCTAGAATAGTGGGGAAGTGAGTGGAGTTTACTGCCTGTGTACTCGTCAAATGAAGACGGGTCCTTTCAAGATCGTATGGTCCAAAATGGTCACAGAGACCATCCTATCCAAACGAGCGGGGGGCCTCAGCTGATGAATCCACCACTGTTAGTCTGCAATGGAATTCGTCAGGCACTCTTGCCACAACGCGAGCCATTATCATCAAAGAAATAACAAGCCTCTTCAGATGTCAGAGCTCGAGTCCTGCATACAAACTTCACAAATGGAAGTAATCTCCACCCTGTCCGACTTCGTCCCTATTCTACATAGCAGACTTCCGCTTCCCCAAGGAGAGACTAAAAACTACTTGCTTTCTCTGAACATCTAAACTCCGTTTCCACAACATGATCTCCGTAGAGATTTACAGCTGATCAGCAGGAGGACACACTGAACCCCGGAGAGAGACAGCAGCCATCACCAGGAGGACACACAACCCCGAAGAAAGACTGCATCCACCTGCAGAGAAAAGCAAACGAAAAAGAGAGCGAAGCACGAGCGAGTTGCACTGTGTGTGAAGTCGCTAAGGATTCCAGACAACTCCTCCGCTGGGTAGGGCGCGTTAGTGGCCGTACAATGTGTCTTCAAACTCACAACAAAGTCGCCTTGACTGGCACCCCTGGTGCGGCAGCAGGGTTGGAGAGAGCTGCCGTGCAATCCAGATCCGCAACCTGGGTGCACTCAGTGATTCCTTGTCCTTCCCCCAAGGAGTTAAGGCAGCCACTTCCCTTCCACTGCCATCTAACTCTCTCTCTCCCCAACACGGGGTAGAAAAACATCTCCCAGTTATTACCGTTTACTCTATCATTGGCACGGTTCTTTATCCTTTACAATGAAGTCAATATAGAGGGAGTCTATGCAGAAAGAAGGGCTATCAGGATCGAAATCCATCAACCAGAGGAAACCCCGTTCTTTTAGACATGTTTTGACGGGAACAGACCAACTGTTATGTGAGAATGACATTTCGGATCTTTGACTCTGCCACTTTCTCGATGAGACGATAGCATACCCTATGTCACCCGCTTTGACAAGGGAAAGACAAGTGAATTCAACGTAAACAAGCAAGGCTAGAGGTTCTTTCCATCTTCTTTGGCTACACCTGCACGCACAGGCTCCTGAAAGACTTCACAAAAGAGAGGAGATTTAAGTCAACAAGCGTTCATACTTTCGACCAAACAAGAGATGAAAGCAGAAACACCACCAATGTGTCAACTCTTTCATAAACTTGCACCATACTTTAGGTGTTTGGTCCTGTTTCCTGTCCTTGTAAAAGATAGCCAACCCTTCGAGCCCAAAGGAAAACACTTACCACTCAGCAAAAGGATTTCGTTCGCTAAAAGGTGATAGAAATGCAATTACAGAACAGAGTCACGATGGTCGACAACAGTTCACATTTGAACACCGCAAGGCCACAATGGTGAGAACATCACACTAGCAAACCCAAGGGAAGAGCTGGGGAAAGGGGAAGATAAGGCACAATCAGTCAGGAGGAACTCCAACAGGAGATCGGTGGAGTGGCTCACAAACATACCTCCTCCTCGTTTCCTTTCTCCACCCTGACAGTGCTAGATAACTTCTTGCCCTCTCTCTTTTTCTCTTCTTGAAACTCTGGAAACACTAGAGATCTTCATCTTGGGCAGGCTATAGGGGAAGAACCACAGAGTTGGGAGCATTTAAGCATCCTTCAAAAGGCCGGGCAGGGGTCGGCTTGACTTGAATCCTCTTCATGGAAGATCAAAAAGCTTTCACACCCTTTCTTCGCGCTCTTGGGTGGCCATTCTGTTCCTCCTCTTTCGCCTAAGCGACCGTCGTTTTTTCGACATCAGTTTCCTAGACGGTGATGCCACTTCTTTCTTCTCTTGTCTTCACCTTCCACGATCCCTTGCCTCTCTATACAGCGGCATCTTTCTTTCTGTCTCGATGAATGACCAATCGTGGCTCTAACTTTTGTGTCTGTCTCATTGCAACTCTCTTTTTCACCTCGCAACCATAGTCAGACAACATTCTTTCATCATCTGAGACAGAAAGCCTCTTTCTCGTGTTTCGGGTTTTCACTTTGAATCAGCACTACACATGTATAGTGTGTTTTGACTTTTCCCTCTCTAAACTCACCTTCGACACTCATTTCACTGCATCCATTGCCAGCTGATTTTACTGCTACCTGAAAATAACAAACATGTAGTGCATCCTTACCTCACTCGTTTTCGATACAACACGGCAAGGCACCAGGGACGCCACTCCCCTCTCTGCCTCACCATCTCGGCTGCAGAGAGGAAACGGACATCCCTACCAATATCGATCTGAACACATATTTCGGCTGTGGACCACACATCTCATAGATCTGCAATACCCACCCACACACAGATGGAAGCCCATACTGCTTCACACGCACACAATGCCGCCTTTTTCATCTGGCCCCCATCCCATTCACTGCCTGATACCAGTTTCCCAGTCCTGCAACTTCAGGTCACCTTCCTGCTGCTTTCGCGTCACCGCCCATCATTAACCCACACACGATTTCTCCACCCCCAACACACCATTTCTCCACCCCCAACCCATTTACCCGCAAACGATTTCTCCACCCCCAACCCATTTACCCACACACGATTTCTCCACCCCCCCAACCCGATACTCCTGACCTTTCCGTCGCCTTCCCGCTGCTTTCCAGCCACCTCCCACCATTTATTCCGCCCCCAATCTGATACTCCCTCCCGCTGCTTTCCCGTCACAAACTACCCGCCTCTCGTTTCACATCCCTCCCATATGCGTTTCCCTCACCGCCTTCAAACCCGCACAAAACGATCACCCTCCTACGTCTTGTGCACACAAAAACACACCTTCCCCTCTCCAATCACCTGTGTGTGCCTACGAAAACAGCTCTTGTGCACACAAAAACACACAAAGAATTGGCACTTCGCTGCCAAAGAGCAGCCACTCTATAGGTCCCTTAAGCATTTCATGAAGCACCAGATGTCAGAAGTTTGAACAGACATCAATATCACGAACCACAGTTCATTTCTCTTGGTAGACACGAGAACTGTACCAAACGTCACACAGAAAACAACCACCCACCGAGCCGTTCGTAACAATTGCATTAGGTTCCAAGCACTGTCAACACACACTTTCATCATTTCAAACACCAAAGGAACGAAATCCATATAGATCCACCTGCCGTCAAGGGCGATTGCGACCCAAAACCATCCAAAACGTGCCTCATTCCAGAAGGGGGGGGGGGGGGGGGGGGGGGGGGGGGGGGAGAGTAAAGGAGCCGGCTGATTCAGGTTCTGGGCAATTCTGTTTTGTTTCACATTCTGGTATCACAGTTGGACTGAACCTTAAAAGATCATGAAGTCGTGGACTCACGGTATGTGAAAAGTTGGAAGAGCGATGGGGGAAGGATGGTGAAATGGGGTAAAGAAGAGGATGCCGGAATCTCAGAAGAGATATAGAAGGAAGGGGAGTTTGGTTGAACGCTTGGGGACAACGGCGGAAAAGGAGGGGGGGGATAGCAGAAAGGTGGTTGGATGACGGGGGAAACGTCAGAGGAGGATGGCAACACGGTCAGGAGAGCATCAAAAGGTGGCGTTTGGGAGGAGGAAGCAGACGCGGCATGTGGGGAGAGAGAAATAAGAAGAGAAGCACAACAGGAGGCTGTGGCGTTAAACAGTCTCTGGCAGCGTAGGAGATGGAAGAAGCAGGTGGACCACGCTTCCCACGACTACTGGGGTCCAGGTGCCATGGCGTTCGCCACTATGGCAATGTCCAGCAGGCGGCTATTGTACCCGACACGCAGTTGGACTGGTGCTGACCTCCCAACGGGGCATATTGGACCGGTGCTGACTTCCGACGGGGCATAACATATGGTAACCCGATCCAGTTCGAATTCACAAGGGTAACCAAACTTGCACCCTCCCCTCACAGAAAGGGGAAATCCAGACGTAAAGAACACAAACAAAAAAAAAAATCAAACAGGCGGTTCGTGGGCACTCTCGCCGTCGCTAATTTTTTTTTCGCACTACGCACTACGTGGACACCCAACCAGCACAAGCCATGCCAGGCCTGCCCGACGGCTATTGTGCTCGACACACAGTTGGACACCTGGGGGTTTACTGGCGATCCCAGGATCGTAAGGAATCCACCAAATCAAGACTTAAAATCTGCCTTTGTCCATTGACAGGTGGAGCAATACTTTGCAGACCCTATTACCCCCTCCCGAACATATGTGATCCATTCTTGTGTTCATAATAACTTCCTTTATCTTTACGTATGTGCAACGATACCCTTCCATTACGTCCCCACATGCATACGTAATGCACACAGTCATGTCCTAAGGCCCAGGCGCAGAATGAGCACCTGTGCAGTCTCTGCCTACATACATTCTCAGACTCACACACTCCCTTTCAGGTCCACATGAAACTCGAGCATATCCAGAAGGGGGACTTAGGACACCCCCCTCCATACTTGTGCGCGTCCGGGACCAAGGTAGTTATTACAGATGGCGGTGAAGAACAAGTCTGACCCACACGAGTCATTGGCTACAGACTACCCCTCCACCTCTTCGCATTCAAACATCAACTTGAGCACTATTGGGCTGCGTACGGACGTACAAACGGGAGCATGCATGGGATTATGCCTGAGGTGCTGCACACGTGACTGCAGCTAGACAGCACGGCTGCACAACGCATCTGCGAATGGAATTCCGCATTGGATACTGCGTATGAGACTGTGCCTGACACTGCGCATGCGACTGTAGTCCGATGCGATTGCAGACACCTTGTACCAACATGGGGACTGCGCATGAGATTGCGTGTGGGACTGTGCCTGACACCGCACATTGGACTGGATAGTCCAATGGGACTGCAAAGGACTGCTCATGGGACTGAAAAAACAGCCTGCAGGCCAACACAGGCCTGGCACAAGACTGCCAGCGGAGCTCCAGATGAGACCGAAAACGACTTCGTGATGACCAGGGAATGTACCACAAGGTGACCGCAAAGTGCAGACAAAAGCAAGCAAAAACGGATGGTCGCTCGCATAACACCATCTAACGATAACCATCGGCCGGTGTTCAAATACATAGAGCAGGCACGAAATCATAGTCGAGGCATGCCGATTGGGCTCGTATGGAATTCGGCTTCTGGACCAGCACGTCGAAAAACTCCCCTCACTACTGGATTCCTGGGTCGAAAGGTTGTGTACCAAAGCCCTTACAAAGCACATCATTCTGAGAACAGGTCGGTCAACCATTTGCCAACGGCGAATGAGAGAATGGTGGTAGTCCCCGACCGTCTATGTCCGAACATACGGCAGCAAAATGGACAGGCTGTCCCAAAGCACAGTGGAGAGCAGACGACGCTCATTTTCCGGGACTACGGAGGGTATATTTTCATTTTATGTCATCCATTTTGCAACACAGAATATCTCAAGTGTAACTGAAGAGAATAACGGACTCACACGAAGTCTACCATTGAAGTCTGAGTTCAACTTATGCGCCCCGTTGGCGTGGTACCTGATTTCACAAACACAGAAACAAGCGCAGAATCACATACCCAACACACTTCACTCACCTAGTGTAGTAATCTTTAGGGATGTAGACATCCTTGATTGTTCCAAACCGCTCAAAAGGTGCCCGAAGATCCTCCAGCCTGGAATACAATAAACCAACCACACACCAGAACAAACGATCAGAAAAAAACACCATCATGGCTTTTGCGCTTTCCTGGCTTTTGTGCTTTGGAGCATCCAGAAGGGCCAAAGAGGAGAGACAAAGAAGGTTTGAATCAGCCGAGCAAGCAAGGGAAGGAATCACAGTGATCACTGTTGATTTACATGCAATGGTGGCAGTGGTGGCAATGGTCAAACGAATGCTATCCAAATCCCAGAGCGATAACGATAAGAAATACCTAAACCAGAAAGACACGTACTAAACCAGGAAAACAGGACACCGCGCTTTTCTACTGCCCTCGAATACAAGGCTCCAGAGAAGATACACCGCAAAAACTATCCCGGTTTCCAGACACGAGGTGAAGATTTACCCAATCCCAAAAGAACAGAACGCCCCACGAACAGCACACAACGCCTGCAATGCTGCCTTATTGCCTATCACTCGACTTCAGGGCTGTGCAACAGACCGCCAGCGGTGCTGCGCTATTGCTTTCAATGAACAGCGGGGTAAGCGGAAAAGTAAACGTATTCACAGAGATGGAAGAGAGCCATACTCGAGAATCAAAATGAAAGGAAAACAGAACGGCGGCAGTGCACAACATCAACGACATTGCCTCCGCGATATGTCATGTCATTTTCGACCATCGGGTACATACCAAATCTTCGCTGTATCGATACAGTTTTAACAGGTGCGCCAAAAGGAAGTGGGAGAATGAAACAGCAGAACCAGGATTATTTATTTAGGTTGTCCGAACCCGGTCAAATCATGAAGGCAGTCTCTCATTGGAGTGGTGGAACCCAAGTCGTCATGGGTTTTCTCAAGGTCATCCGAACACCAAGGCATCGTGAGACGGACTCGCGCATGTTTTAACATCTCCAAAGGAAAGAAAAAAAAAGAAAACAAGGAGAGAAATAAATACGTAGACAACGCAGACGTCGAACAGTACGTTTATATCTGACGATCGATCAACACCTCTTAGGGACTCGACGCACGACTACCGTCTTCAGCCGAATACAACGCCCGGTCCTAATCGGTGTACCTTGCACCTGGACTGACAGTTGAATCAGATACGGCTATAGTGACGGGGCAAAATCGGTAGCCAAACGCCAACATCTTGCACGTCCATGGACTGCGCACTGACCCCGATACGTTCAAGATCTCACGTTTGGTGAGTCGTGCCGCGAGCCCTCCAACTCAAGACGACACAGCTCATTATAACAAAAACCATGGGTACTAAATCTTGCAGCGGATATATATGCTACTCGAGCTCCGCTCACATTACCGCTCGTTTCTTGCTGATACATTGATAACCACCGGTTCGACTGGCCATTATCCCTCCCAATGGGCCACTCGAGCGTAATCTTCTGGTCACTCTTTGGTCTTCGTTCGTCGATACGTCTGCCTACCATCTTCACCCAAGAACCTTGTCCACTCGAACCTGGCCTCTTTCTGTTCAGATACATACCAGAGAATCCCGAGATCTGTCCACATTCGATACCATAACCACAATATTGATGTGAAAAAAGACTTAAAAAAAGGGTCTTAGCGACAATCGTGAGCTGCTCCCAAACTACCACTTTATACTTTTTCCTGACCATCAATTCAATCCGCATAACGGTGTGGGGAATCCAGCCCAGTCAACGAGGCACCGTTACAGTCAACGCCAAGTTCTCGACACCGCAGCTGCACTACCACATGCTTCAACGCCGACATGGCCGAGTCTTATCACAGTATTATGACGGAATATTGCCCCAAATACAATAATGACCATGCACTCACCTCGATGGAAAGTCGCGCCACGTACAGTGTACAACTGTATTGACGCTCCATTTGGGTAAAGACGGTAGGATCAATAACACAGCCCTTGCGCTTCATGACTACAGTCTTCCCCCGAACACAACGGACCCTCATTTTGACTGCATCGAACCGGAAAGACGGCCTGTATACGTCCATTTCAGCGTGCTGAATGTTCGGGGGAAGACGGTAGAAGCAGCAAGAGTTGAAAGACATCTCGGATTACTGGCAATTCGGCATCGCCCATCGGCCAACCCAAAAGGACAAACTACCTCGACCCTAACTTCATCTATAGCAGGCATCCCTAGGTGATGGGGAATCGTTAGCGGAGAAACCAACAAACAACGAAAACCTGAACCTCATGAATAAGCACGTCATAGAGGAGGAGACGACGAATCAAAAATGAGGAGGGAGGATAATGACGGCGAAACAAATGGAAAACGAATGAAGAAACGAGAGACAATAGGAAAGAAAACACCGGGAAGGAACGGAAAGACAGGGAAATGAAGAGTTAAAGACTGGACGGCGAGAAATGCAAGACCGAATGGGGAAAAACGGCGGAGAAAGGAGGGAGAGAGGCGGAGAAAGGGAACGCGGCGGGCAAAGAAAGGACAGCGAGGAAAGACGAGTCAGCAAAAGGAGGAAGACGTTGGAGAACAGGCAAACGAGCGAGAGACGACACGGACAGGAAACAAAAAAGAAACAGGGGGATGATGGAAAAGACCGAGACAGAAGCGGACACAAAAGAAAGAAAGTGGAGGAAGGGAGACGACGGGGAGTGACGAAGACAAAAGACGAAAGCAATCAGAGGGAACGAGACAGGGAAAACGACGGGGATAGAGAAAAATAAGGAAAGAGAACGGGCAGAGAACAAGATAAACGGAAGCATACGCAAAAGATGGCTAATCAAGGGAGAAGACGGCGAATGAACGAAGACAAAAAACAAAAGCAATCAGAGGGAACGAAACAGGGAAAAAGACGGGGATAGAGAAAAAAAGGAAAGAGAAGGGGTAGAGAACAAGATAAACGAAAGCATACTCAAAAGATAAAATGGGAGAAGACGGCGAATGAACGAAGACAAAGAAAAGCAGGAAAAGGGAAGGAAACCTCGAAAGGTATGAAGAAAGGCGAAAAAGAAACGGGGAGGAAACGGCGTAAGGCAAGAAGAAAAAAACCTACAAAGGAAGAAGATGGGCGAACAGGAAACGGGAAAGGAACGGCGAAAGGTAAGAAGAAAGGCGGAAAAAGAAACCTAAGCAAAAAGAAGACGGGCGAGAAGGAAACGGAGGGAAGACAGAACACGGAAGGAGGTGGGGCAAAGGACCGAATGTGCAGAGAGAATGTCCAGTTGCCAGACAATGAAAAGATGGAGAACAGTGAAGCGAAAAATGGACAGCACGTCCTTCGGGACATCCGTTAAAAATCTAACGATACAGAAGATTATCGTGGCTCCTGCATAAGGACGACACGGAAAGGAAATAGACAAAAGAGCAGCACAGGGAAGGTCGGAGAAGCAAAGATTAACACAACTGTGCCAAGGACTGACAAAACTTACAACAACACGATCGAAATCATGAACCTTAGGGTGGAAAGACAGGAAAGCGTTAGACCGAACACCCACCCTCGCCTATTAAACACCGATGGGAGGAGAAAGAAATGAGACTAGTGCACAGAAGAAATGTGAGCAACGAAAGCGGAGAGAGAACAGCGAACTCGAGAGAAAGGCTGCCGTCGACAGGGCGGAGTGAATTAGAAAAATGAACAAACGGAGATCCGAGACACGACTTGTGACAAACAGGTTGGAAGCGACTACCGCCTTCACCCGTATAGAACGCCCGATCATTGTATCTGTATCTTGCCGCAATTCTCAGTCCAGATGCAGCGATAATGACCGGGCATTTATTTCAGGTAAGTGCGCAGAGCTGAGAAAGGTGCACAAGGACACGATGAGAGCGCAGAGCTGAGATAAAAATCACTGATACCGCCGCAATGTCGAGAAGCAACAAGCCAGGATCTTACCGACGAGAGAAAAACGCAAATGGCAAAGAGAAGAGCTAGGTGAGGGAGGAAAACGGGAACAATATTGCACCATGACCTGGGTGCTATTCAACCTTCCCAATCGAATAGCAGCAATAGTACATGTATTCGTCCTTGGCCTAGTTTTTATTGTTCGCATTTTCCTCCCTCACCTAGCTCTCATTTTTGCCATTTCCGTTTTTCTCTCGCCTGCTTTCCCTCGGTAAGCTCCTGGCTCGTTGCTTCTCGACATTGCAGCATTGCGGTCCGTAGAGGGTTCGTACCAACTGCTTGGTATAGGTATCAGTGGTTTTCTCTCTCATCTCTGCGCTCTCTCCGTGTCCGTGTGCTATTGTGTTTACCCGAGTAAACGCCCGGTCATTATCCCTGCATCAGGACTGTTAATTGCCGCAAAATACAGATACAATGACCGGGAGTTCTATTCGCGTTGCAAGCTCATATCCTCAACAGAGCAATAGGAATAATACTAACTTGCCGCCGCCAACTGAAAATAATCCCGTTCCTTACAACGACACGCGGTTACGTAGAAGAAAAGGGGCAAGAAAACGGAAGCAAACAAAAAAGGTGAACAGAAAAAACGGCAGGAAACATAGATGTCGCAAGCAACACAACACACATCAATTAGAAAACGAGGACAGATTTGCTGTTTATAAGCGAGTCATCATAAGTTCGAGAGAGAGACGCCGTCGTGATTACTTTGCGTTCTTTCCAATGTTCATTGACTGGAAACTGATAATAAGAGGTGTCCAGTAATGGCAAAACACAGCATGGACGAAAGAAGGGGTGACGAGCACGAAGCCGGAGAAAGTAAAAGCAACCACAAAGACAATTAGGAGCACAGAGAAGGAGAAGGCAAGTAGGAAGGAGCGGAGGAAGCGAGTAGGGGGAGCACGAGAAGTCGGAGAACTCCGCATTCCGACGATAACCACAGCCTCGTCGTGAATGTATTCAGACTACTTTTCTGCGTGCGATACAGGGTCTCGCTCCACCACACTTCAACATGTTTATGTGCTGTGAAGTGGCCCAGAAATGCTCCAACTGATCCAACATTTTGAATGAATCGGGACAACGGCCAGCTCCAGATGCAATTCGAATGATGAGAAGTGGAGAGAGGCCCACCTTCATGAAGCCGTTGAGTTCAGAGTAAGACGGCTCTGAGAAGGGACAACAAAAATGAAGAGACGAAAACAGAAAGGAGGAAGAGGGGGGTACCGAGGAGGAAAGACATTACGACAGCCAAAGAAGAACACAAACAAAATGGGTAGAAAATGCGGCAAAGACGCTCAGCAATGGAGCAAAATGAAAATGCGTCTAAGCAGTAGAAACGTCAAGAAGGGAATACGTATATATGAAGGACAACGAATGATCAAAAAGAAAGACGTACAAATGAGTCACCGCTACAAAGACGAAAACTTGAAATAGTCCACAAAACAGAATGAGAAAGTTGAAACGAAACAAAAGGACCACCTGAAATCAATAACGGATACGACTATGAGATATTGACCATGTACCATTCCTCTTTTGTTAATATTCGCAGAATGCGCATAACCACACACATACCAAAATACCGTCGATAAAGAAAAAATAGATAAACAAAGCCCAGGCGTACAGAGAACGGGAAAAAATGAGACAAGAAACTCCTTCAAAGACATCTAGAAAACACACACTAACCGAAAATAGCAAACGACTACCATTCGAGAATTCCATCAGGGAATTAAACCACAAAAAAGGCGAGGGATGGCAACGACACAAAAAACTCGTAACGAGGCGAAATAGAGGACCAAGAAAAAAGATATTGGCGCGTGGTCAATTCTATCGGAATATATGAGCAGCAGGGCAAAAACCACAAAAAACACAACATATCAGCAAAAAAATGGAAGAAAGGCCTTTCAACGAACGGCGCAGACGCACTATCCAGAAATGGTGAGATTCATATCAAATACTAGATATGGTCAGATTCATTAACAAGACTTATTCAGCATACACGTCCTTTAAAAAGCCTCGCGAACTACACAAATGACAAGAACGAGAGAGATGAGAGAAGGAGAGGCATGGTCACTATCGAGAGAGAGGCAGAAGTCCTCAGGCAACTCCGCAAAACTCAATAATAATAAAATAAGGCTTACTACCAGAAACAACAATTGAAGGCAGTATTATAAACACAAAAATAAAAAACAATTGGACGCAGCAGCGACGGGGGCGAGAGACTACTACCGATAAAACAGTACCAACCAAAATTGAATCCCAATCCCCTTACCAACACTGGAACTTAAGGGGCCCAAGGGTCGTCAAATTACAAGATATCAGTGTACAAGACTTGAACTGCATAAAGAGTCAGTGAAACTCGTTCTAACGAAACACGCTGTCGTAACTCAACCTATACCCTCTGTCTGTCTTCAACTCGTCAGGCAGCTCTTTGCGACTGTACATTATCGCAGAGATCATAACATACAACATATTTACATTGCACCGACATCATATACATTGACATTAAAATTGAAAATACTACCAATAAAGTAGTAATAGAGATATTCAGAACACACTCCATGTACAGGATGCAAATCCATGTCATAAACATTTCAACCCCGTCTAATGAGCTTGGCATATATTCGAGGACTGATCCACGTAATCGAAGCAACGTGCCCGCACAAGATCTTCATTACGGGACGTCACGATGCGATCACTGATCCGCGTAATCGAAGCAACGTGCCCGGGCAAGATCCGCTTAAGCTCGCCATGGCGGCAGTAATGCCAAATAAAAACAATGAAAAGAAAGGCATCGAGACGCAAAAGCGATAATATATAATTCCGTGACAACAACTTAAAATAAGTTGGTCCAGACTACGGCTTAAGCTCCAGCTATGGCGGCTGAAGCTTCAGATAAGAGCGCAAGAACATAAAAAACATTTGCAATGCCAAATAACAACAATGACAGCAGAGACATCAAGATTACGAGAACGAAAATATACATCAGAGGTAACCATAGCGCGAGATTCCGTGACACAACAAATTGATCGAGGAACGGCCCATAGTACACATTGAGATATAATTTCACATCTTTGCTAAACATTGAAGTTCTTACGAAATGACATCGACATAGCGAAAACAACAATACATAACCTTCATTCCCCAAATACAACGTACGGTCATTATAGCTGTCTTTAGACTGAAAGATACCCCAAATACTGCTATAAAGACCCCAAATACAACCATAATGACCGTACGTTATATTCGGGGAAAGAAGATAGTAACGTCGCATGTCCTCGATGACAAACAAATTCACAGGTCATAGGGACAGACTATGAATTGGTGTGAGAAGCAATGATCACCACGAGCGGTAACTGAATCGCTAACCATCCATCAGGCAGATATACGTATTAAAAACCGTCCAACCCGCAGGAAATAAGGTAATCAAACAATGTGATACCGCTCAATCCGCAAGGAAAACAGATATCAAATAATGTGACACGTTAAAAGAGAACTAATAAATACTTCCGAGGCGATACCAGAGAAACGCTCAAAAACTCTGAACGATGGAGAGGCCCGACAAACGAAGGAGTGCTTGCGAGAAATACCGATGAGCAGAAATAGACAATCGAAGACACTCCGCGTGACGAAACTAATTACTAGACAAGTGCTCTCGAGAAATACCGAATCCGGTAGACCTCACTGAGTCAACCAAACTAACGAGGAAGAAGACACAACAAAGAGAGACAATTAAACAACGCCAGAGTACCACGCCTACACTCTTCACCCGAATAGAACGGCCCGTCATTACTGCCCCCGCCATTTGGAGTGAGTTGCCCCGCATGCAGCTATTATGACCGAGCGTTCTCTTCGGATGACGATGTTAATCAACAGACTACAGCGAGAATATACTTACAACACACCACGCAAAAACTCAAGGGGAAAAAAAAAAGAACTCCAAAACGCAATATTCAGGGAGAGTGGAGAACAGTTGCAAGTTGGAATGGGAAAATTACCTGCAATCTCTTGCAAGGTTTCTCACCAAAAGACTGGTAGGCGCACGACGATCGCGATCTCTATCGCGGTCGCGATCCCGATCCCTCCCGCGATAGCCACCTCCGCCGCCACCCCCGCTGCCTCCGAATCCTCCTCCACGCGGAGATCTCGGCGTGCCGCGCCGCCAGTTATTCCGCGGGGGCGAGCCCCCGCCACCTCCTCCCCCACCTCCCCCTCTCCATGGGCTTGCGCTCCTACTTCTACTGCGGCCCATCCTACGGAAACGGCCTCCCGGTTCCGCCACAGCGACTGTCTTCGTCTCACTCCCCACTCCCTCTCCTTTTCTTCCCGCCAGTCTAACCTTCGTCACAACCTCCCTCTCCTTCCTCCCCTCCCTCTCCACTTTCCCTCCCTCTCTACTTCCTCCTCCACTGCACAACCGTCTCTTCGATCAACCCAGAGAACTAGCAAGATATCCGCTTCCGCTGATGCGACAACTTGGACAAAACCCTAGAATAGAAAGAAGCAACCGAGTCCGCAACCAAGACCTCGAGAAGACCAATCTCAGGGACCTCTGGAGCCCTTAAGCGGATGCTAAATCGAGAAAGTACAAGAGACCCCTCCCTCCCTATGCTGTCCTCTACTGCTTGCCTTCAGATCACTGCGTGTGTATAGATAAACTCTTCGACGTAGGCGGTAGTTCAGCCGTCGACTTTCCTCATGAACTTCCGTAAACGAACTTGAACAGACTACTAATCGACTTGCCTGCCTTACCGGATCTGATAATGTACACAGCCACTGGATGACTCCAACTAAGAGCAGCGTACAATTCCGCAGCGAAGTCGAGGACTCGTATTACTGGATATTTACCTGGGGGATCTCTCGACAATCTCGGGAGAGTATCCAACGGACTCAGACGGGCTGAACATTGTGATCGAATCTGCAACTGCCTCGCATCAAGAGTCGCCTACACACAGAGGAGAGGGCTTGAGCTCAATTCTAGTGGAGAGATGGTTCTCCTTTCGCGGTCTTTTTTCACGCCTCCGACGAGCGGCAAGCGGGGAGCCGGGGGCGAATACAGTGGGGTTATGACTCGTGAAACCTTTCTTCTCAATGATAGCTTCTCTATGCTAAAAGAAAATAGGCTAACATGGAAAAGAAAGAAGGGATCTCTGTGCTGTAATCGCGATGACGTCCTCCCCACATCCTTCCTCCTCACACCTTCATCAACTTACACAACGGCTCTTTCTCCCTTATCACCCCGCCGATGACACAACGGCGCAGTTCGAAATACTTCTCCATTTACAAAGAGTCCACACGGCACCCCGCCGCCTATATGCGTGAAGACCAGGACGAGGACGAGTCCCTCTCGCCCGCTATCACAAACAACCGATCAGGCGAACCAGCCGCCTCTCTGTTGCCTTGACATCCGAAAACCCACTGACGTTGCGTGGCGCCCCTTTCCCTCTCTCGCTCCGGAGTCCGCCTTTCGCTTTCCCCTCCACAGCAGACGAATCGCAAACCCGGGCCCCAGCTGCACGGCCGTCAAAGACACACGATCGCTGCCGGCCACAGCATCCCATGCTCGAACTCGCCGAGAAAGAGCGGGAGAGAGAGAGAGAGAGAGAGAGAGAGAGAGAGAGAGAGAAAGAAGACGCGGGGCACCGTGGCAGATGTCGTGTGTACGAATAAACGCCCGCCAACAAACGCCGTTGTAGGGTAATCAACACAGATAAGACGTTCCGAACTTCGACGATAGCTGCCAGACTCCCGCCCACCTCACTCCGGCCTTGCGACCACTTGGAGTCCAACAGCCAACTCCTCTTTGATTTTGATGGGAGGTATTTGATCACCTGGGGCCCCCATCCAAAATGCCAAGAGCTTCGCGCCTTGCCTGAGAGGCGTTGCCCTTTCTCAGGGTATATTCCGACGGAATTAGCGCCACCTAAGGCTGCGGTTCTAGTCTGCAAGGTCGGCCTTTTTTCCGGTTCGGGTGGTCAGTGGAACTGGGTTCTGTTGGGGTTGAGATTGCCTCGGGACCAGTCAATTGCCTTCTCGCAGGGGGGGGGAATGAAGCCCTAATGCATTCAATTTTCCTTCTTTTCTCTAGGGTGCGGCTGCATGCAAGCTGGGTCTGGCAGGATGCACCAGCCCGCCCCTTCACAAAAAGTAATGGTCTCCCCCAGGGGTGCAAGAGGGGTGATGCTTTTTCTTTGAAGAGAGAGAGACGCAAGAGAGAGCAAGAGAGAGATGGGTGACTCGGATGCATGCATGCATGTGAATCATCTCTATTACCTTCTTACCCCAAAACAAACGTATTCGAATACAACATATGTATGTTATATTTAGGGCACAACTTTCCAGAAGCCTCTAGTACCGCACTTTTTTTTTTTTTTATCTCAAATCGGTTGGGAATTTCACCAAGACCGTCAAGCAACCATTGTTAGCATTTAAATTTTGTTTCGATCCTCTTTTTTGAATGTCGTGTCAACAGGGTTTTGCCTGCAGCTACTCTCCGTAGTTCGCAGCCCTAAGAGTTGCGATATAGTGGGTTCGGGCATTTCTGTTCGTAGCCCTAAGCCTGCGATATAGTGGGTTTCGGTGTCTATCTCAAAGTGACATATTTTCGACAGCGGGCGACCGACGCATAAGTGGGCTCTTAGCGATTAAAACATTTTGGGGGATTGGTCCTTGATGATATTGCGAATGACCTACAAATAGCTCTTCTAAAACCAAGACTTAGGTAAATGGAAGGACCGGTCGTCGGATGGAAGAGGATTTTAAAATGAAGTAAGAAGGGAAGGCGTTGTAAGAAGTCTCACGAACAAACAATTTGCAAGAGAAAACTTTACTCATCTTTTGAGTGCATAAGAATTCGTGAAAATTTTTGAAAATTTGATAATCGGTACATTATCTTGTATAATCTTTCCATGAAAAATATAAGAAAAAATAAATAAAATCATTAACACCATAAAATAATTGTTGCACCGGTTTGGTGCATTTTTATTTTTGGTCAGTTAACCATATGTGGGCCAACAGAAAAAGTACGAAAACTTTAGTGATTTTTCTCGCTCAGAGGAATGTGTGACAAAACCTAAAAATTGGACTGCTCACATACCTTATTGTGATATTTTAATAAAAAATATTAAATAAATTTATAAAAACACTTTCAACCACGAAATAGATTGTGGCCAAAATTTAAGTCATTTTCCATTTTTGTTGTTCAACCTCCCTCTCTCTTTCTTTGGTACCCCCCCCCCACCTCTCTCTCTCTCTCTCTCTCTCTCTCTCTCTCTCTCTCTCTCTCTCTCTCTCCCTAACTCTAAACGAAAAGCAAAGAAACACAATTCCTTAGGGTTGCGTTGTTGAGCACATTGACTCCCACCTTCTTCGCAAAAGCAAGAGTCCCCCCCACCATGTCACACATGAGTTAGAGAAACTAAACCGAGAGATAAATTCGGAACAATGCATAAGTAATCTCGTGAACAGTCAAAATGAACGAGGTTGCATTGTCACCTTGTCGCTTTAGACGGGTGCGCCAATTGTACTTCCCGCAGTCCCTTACGACAGGATATGTTATCGCAGGGCACACTACGATAAGATAGGTTATCGCAGGGCATACTACGATAAGATAGGTTATCGCAGGGCACACTACGACAGAATAGGTTATTGCAGGGCACAACTTACCTTTCCTAAAGGGTTGACACCACCCTTAGGGGTGTACCCCTACCGAGCTACCGACCCATATAAGAAAGTTTTTAGATGAAGTCATAGAGGTTGGTCAGCCAAGGGTGTTTGCTTGTTCGTTGTAGTATAGGTACGCTTGGTCAAAATGTCATTTATTCTCGAACGTCATTCGTTCCCTATGGCATTGATCTCCTAAGTACAAACTGACGTTGGTCGACTAGGATGACCTTAACAAAACGTGAAACCCCCAAGTATCCTAATCCTTCAGGTGTACAACTAAAAACAAAGAAATCACCATGATCAAGTATAACCGAAAAATAACTATCATTAGTCAAGTGGACATCACATGTAAATTCAACATAAATTTAAACAAGAAATGAAAGAACTCGAGCACCACATGATAGAACCAATGACACAAGATCTGAATAAAAAAAACCTACCACGTCGGATCGAACTTGAATAAATAAATAAATAAAATAATGAGACACCAACGGGAAGTTAACCTTGACAAATAACCTCGATGCGACCAACAAGATAGTCATACTGCCCCAGTTCTAACTTTATACGATGTGTTGCCAAAGTCATCCATTACACCTGTCTCTTATACACATCTAGATGTGTATAAGAGACAGCCACATGATAGAACCAATGACACAAGATCTGAATAAAAAAAACCTACCACGTCGGATCGAACTTGAATAAATAAATAAATAAAATAATGAGACACCAACGGGAAGTTAACCTTGACAAATAACCTCGATGCGACCAACAAGATAGTCATACTGCCCCAGTTCTAACTTTATACGATGTGTTGCCAAAGTCATCCATTACACTTTACCGTCGACGTAAAATTGGCACGCACACACCTGCCTCCATACATTTTAGTATTCTTTAATGACAGATTGCTTTGCAAATGATTTTTTATCAGATGCATTACTCAAAGTGTTGCATGTCCCACTCTCTAAGAAGTGATATGGGGTAATTTTCCTCCTCGCCCGAGCACAAAGCTCATATTTCATAAGTTGGGTCGTATTCACTGAATCGACATAGTCCCCCCCCATAGAACGTTCCACTCTGGGTCCATAACAGGGTCGGCTCCTAGAGCAACGACCCCCCTCCCTAGATGCTTCCTAAAAAGAGTGAATATGTCAATCATAAATAGATTTTAGTTGTTCTAATTTTTCATAAGCTCGGGCTAACTTAGATTAAAAAAGTCGAAGAAGATAGAGGACAGAAACCATTTGGACAGATATAAACAAACGAGGTAATTCGGGATAGAACGGGTAGACCTCGAGGAAAGACTAAGTCGAATTAATTTTGTTATCTTCAATCAATTTTTTTTTACGGCGCACTGATCTAACAATTTTCAAAACATAAGTTTTTTTAGCCACCAGATAGGTAAGAGGTAGAAAAAAGAAAATCATTTTCACTAGTCCTAAGTAGGCACATTTGCAACCATCCTTCGACGCATATGCACACTCAAAAGCAATCAACAATTCAACAATCTAACAACCCATACTGACCCTCTGGGACGGTTCTTAAGGCTGTGATGTTGCATCGAGACTGTGCGGCACAGACCATACTTTGGCCCTGGATTTTATCGAGGTTCAAAGTTTTATTAATTTGACGACAGGGTTTTGTTGCCAATGGCAGGCTTCAAGGCGACACTAGTGGAGGTGCCGACAGTCTAGTTTGCGGCAGGCTAATCCCCATTTTGGTGAGGATATGCTTGCAGAATTTTACAGTATCGGCATGACTTTTTTCGAGGTAGTGTTGGCGTGAACACACGGTAGGCTGCACCCCGTTTGGTGGGGTTACACTGTCGAATTCTTTGCACGTTGACGGTACTAAATTCCGGAGGAAATGTGTTGTTGTTTTTACAATACAATGACGGTAGCATTGTTCGGTGAGAGAATGTTTCCCGTTTGACGGCGGGGAGCGGGGTTTTTAGGTGACGTGTTGCTGGTTTGACAATGCAGTATTTGCAGTTCCGAGCCAGAGATTGTTGTGATACCAACTGTAATGCACGATTGGGACTTGGTTCCAAGAGTGGTGTTCGACAGAGTTGCGTTATCGAGCGTATCGGTCCCACAAAGGGAACCCTTTCGACCACATAAAGCATGATTTTGCAGGACTTACTGCGTAGAGCGTTCACCGTTCCGACTGAGTGCGTCAACCATACGTCTCACGAACGCCCTACGACATGTTAGGACCACACGAGGTACGACTTACCTCCACCCATGAGAGTTGTCACCATCCCTTAGGTGGGTGTATCCTCGCCGAGCTATTGAGCCACGTAAGAAAACGTTTCGTATGCAATCGCAAAGGTGGTCCGACCGAGGGTTTTTCTCGTTCGCTGTAGCATACGAGGTAACGCAAGATTAATGTTCGGATCGGACCCGCGTGTGAACCGTCACTTGATGCGCTAATCTCTCATATGCGATCCTACTCCAGTCGACTATGACATTCCTCACTCCACGCGATACACCGTTTGATTGGAAATTTGAAGTTTACTCGCAATTTCGTGCCTAGTCCCTTTGCAAGTGTTTGTCAACATGTCCCCTTTGCGATACACCGTTTGATTGGAAATTTAAAGTTTACTCACAATTTCGTGCCTAAGTCCCTTTGCAAGTGTTTGTCAATATGTCTTATTTCGACCTCCTCCTTCCTGTCGGACCTTCCCGCCTGATTCCCTCCATCTCTCTCTCTCTCTCTCTCATCCATCTTGATTGAGGCCAGATATTTTTCCTTCTCCTTCGAATCTCGATGACATCTGTCAACATGTCTTCTTTCGTCCTCTGAGCTACAAAGCCACGTACAGAAGCGTTTCGTATGCAATCGCAGAGCTGGTCCGGTCGAGGATATTTCCCGTTCGTTGTAGCATAAAAGGTAATTTGAGGTTAACGCCCGGATTGGACCGGCATGTGAACCGTCGCCTGATGCGCTAATCTCTCATACGAGATCCTACTCCCGTCGACTATGACGTTCTTCATCCCACTAGATACACCGTTTGATTGGAAATTGAAAGTTTACTCACAATTTCGTGACTAGTTTCTTTACAAGTGTTTCAACCCGTAACTTAATTTGGGG